GGTACCGTATTTAGGATGATTACAGTGTTTTCGAATAGTTTCCCGATGAATATACAGCCACCAACATGTTGATCATCCTTACTAAGCAATAAGCTTAAATAGTAAAAATCCGTCATACATATAATAAAAGTATGAAAGCCTGTTTCCTCTTTGGGACTTCGGGCTCGCGAAATATGTTATGGAAATTATTTTAACTGCGAAGAGCTTCACCGTGAATACGGGTGCCCCAAAACATCAGAAACGTTAGGCCATAGTTAAAAAGAATTATTAAATTTAACGAATATATTATCCTGTTTTAGACCGTTAAAGTGCGTTATTTAAATGTGTACTACTCGCGTAAACTACAGACAATTTACGTCAACCAGGACATATTTAGCGCATAGTTTACAAATATAAAGATATTTAGCTTAGTCCGAACTTAAACGGTCGCGCAATTCACAAATTCACCTGGGTGTTTTAACCTGCCGTGTTTACAACGCTTTATATAACGTAAATAGCATAATTCGAAAACACCAATACGCTATTTACACTTCGGTTTAAGGAAGTTTTAAATTTGACGAGCTCGTTGTTACAGTAACAATGAGTATAACCAATGTAATATTATTGTCATAGTCAAAAATCATTTATTGACGTGAACTATGTTCACTTATTAACGTCACACCAGCGAAAAATTAAAGACTCTACACTTTTATATTTACTACCAGTTCTCAAATCAAGGGCGTAGAACGAACAAGAACTGGCAAGAAACTCGCCGCCACTCCTATTATCGCCAAGTTTCATTTTACACGTACTTTAAGTAAACATATTTTGTATTTTTGCTGTAACAAGAAAAAATTATGCACATGTAGGAGGAATCCCAACCTCGAGCATTTTTATAGTTTAAATATTGATTTACGTCATAATAACCCTTATTGCGAGTGCTTGCACTCCACTGAAGATTTTATTAAAATATCGTATACTTGAAAAGGATTATTTATTTTATATTACTTTTATAAAGCTTCTTGGGTGGTACACTTATTTTATCCTTATTTAATGTATTGTAATGATGAAAACAGCCGGCCTTTATTAATTATATCGAAATGGCGGTTCTCGAAAAACGTATAACGTAAGGTAAAAGTATTTTTATGATTAAAAAAAAACTATTTTCTGAAAATATGACCTTAACGAGTCTTTGATATTTCATCTTTATTTGAACAGAGTTTTAGATATAATATTTCCGTAATTATTTTTAAAGAAATCAATTATTTTTAAAAATCTGGATTATTGTTTATTGTTCATTATAACACGAAAAGTTTAATAACTGTCATTGCAACGGGGTTTTCTTTTTAAATACCCATGCGAACTATTTAGTTGGTTTAATTGAATAGAACAATGGAGTCCCGGGTTCAAAGCTCAGTTTGGTAGATAATATTTGAAGTTAATTACTATGCACTGGTTCAGCATGGTGAACGAATGCCTGTTATTTTTAGTGGCACAATGAAAGGTTGAAACAGATGTGAACAAAGCTACCGGAAAGAGCTAGTTATAAGTGAGCAGAAATACAAGCTAGCTCAAACTTGTCGCGAGATTGAAATTTAAATAAATTACGACGTTAATCAGGCGTGTTTTTACTCAGCGAAGGTCTCATCTTGATCTTCGTATTAATTAAAACTTCAACAAACATGGCACCACTTGAACTTGCTACTAGCAGAACTAAAATATAATGAGTTGCGCGGTAATTTTTTAGCACACGTGCTTTAATTATAAATTGAGTGACGCGCTACCTTGAAGCGGACGGAAGGTGCATGTTTTAAAGAGAATCTCGCACAATGGAGATGCAAGTTTTTTATAATTTTGTATTGTCTGCAGTTTACACGAGCACATATTAAATAAAACGTTTGACCGTGACCATGGTTGCTGCAAAGCAACGCAGACGTAGGGCTTTTCTTTACGCTAGTTGATAGACAACTATGAGGTTCGATTGATGGAAGACGACCCCAGGCATATACCGTCTAAAATCTAAACAAGATAAATAAATAAACAGGTTCAAATCCAAAACAAGTATTCTTTACGGCTCTTTCATCTCTGTATGGTAGTTTATGACGCAAGGAAATTTCGATATTCTTATTCTATTACCTAATTCTCAAACAAAGTCTTACATATTTCAAAAAATTATAATTTGCTTTTAAAAAGATGCTGCCCCTGATGGCAATCGTGACCACGATCGGTGAATTCCTTGCTATTGCTCTTATTGGACGAATCAAAATGTCGGGTTGTTGAAAATAAATAAACTGGTAAATTTCGTATTTTAAACCGTTGAAAGTGTTTCAATTTGTGACTCTACTATACTATACTGTAGCAAAAAACACCGAACCGGGTGAAACGCTTGTTTAAGAACTTTTTTCTTTTCGTCCTAATATAATGTTACACCTGATATCTAGTTTCATAACCACTTTTCTATGAAAGCCCGACATGTGTAGTGTCAAGCTGGCAGCGAAAAACAGTTTACATTAAAAATGTAGGTACATTTTCGCTTCGTAGAATTTTCACGTGTGCGCCCGTGAAAATTTAATTGATTGGTCTCTGGTTTTCCGGGAAGTCGTGGATAGTTTATTTCGCAGCTTCGTTTTGTTTACTGCCAATAAATCTTAATATTGGAAGAACAATACACTAAAAGAATGTTTTTATTAAAAACATACAATAAATAATTGCGAGAAAAATTTCAAATACACAACATTATATTTAAAATATCATAATCAGATTGAAAGATAACAAACATAATTTAAATTTACAGGTACATAACGCAATTATGTGCAATATGGGTGATATAAAAAAAGTTTTCAAAGATAATGTTTATTTTTCTATTTTTTTAAGCTTCAAGAAGTTTAAAACTACTTTCACTAAACCTTTTTCTGGTTAAATAGGAATTGACAATTCAATAGTTTTATTATTATTATAGTTTTTATTTCAATCATTTTGAGCTGATCAAAAAAGTCGTTTGTCAGATGTTTATCATGTTGTAAAAATGTTGCGATTAACATATGACATCAAACATGTTGTGTCGCTTAAAAGTTTGCGCCTGATACCGTTTAGTTAGCAATGTCGCGCCAGCGACATTTTTGAATTACCAGTACACAATAAAATTAAACACTGTTAACGAATTAAAACAAAATATATACTGCCCAGAATTGCTTATCACTGACTTACAAAAATATATTTTTTGTTTAAAGTACTACTCGCGTAGACTACAGATAATACTTATTTTTAAAATGACTTAATAGTAAGTTTGAGTTTCTTTGTTGATATAATTTATAGTTAAAAATAAAATATAATTTGCACCTATAAAATACACTTCACATTAAGTACACGTAGGAACAATTGCAATAATCAAGTTCAGGACGCGATGCACCGACCCAGTTCGGGCAACCGCAACCAGCCTGTTTGTGGTTATGTTACTGCCTATGCGTTAGTTCAAGTATTCTATACAACGGCTAGATATAATTTATATGTCGTCATAAGATACGGCATAAATGTAGATATAACTCTTTTTAATTTTAATTAAATTTCGATTTAAGGGTAAAAAAAATTACGTCACGAGCGGGATTTGAACTGGCATCCACAGCGTTCCATCCTCTATCCAAATGGGGCCCGCAGAATATCAGCATAGTAATTTAATGTTTTATTTGCAATTCTTCTTATATTATATTTGTCTCGTGTTCTTTCTGAATAAACGTATCTATTCTATTCAATTGAGCTACCGTTTCCTATCGCGGTTTATTTTTCAACCTTTTCAACCAAATTATATATGCACCTTACGCGAAATAGTTTTAAATTGATTAGAAAAATGTTGAACCCGATCAAACCCACCCCGGGTTCTAGGTAACGGTACCAATATGTCGATTACTTCTTTTACTGTGGTTAAACGCAGCGAACAGCAGCATCGTGACCTGTGAACTGTTTTCTCACAGGATACACTTACCATACAAACGATTCTTGTGAATGAATCTTAGAGGACAGACATAAAATGTACAGACATGACTTTGGATTATTTAAAGAATAGTATATGTTTTTTTTGTTTCGTAAACCATTTTCGCAGCATACGCATGGAAAATTCCAAAGACGAATAATTTTCCACTTTACTATTTCTAAGATCCTTTTGGAAGCAAACACGCGTTTTACAGCTTAAAGCCTTCCCCCAAAAAATTCTTCAACCAACACAAACACAAAAACAATTCAAACCGGTAGTTCCTGAGATTAGCGCGTTCAAACAAACTGTTTAGCTTTATTAAAATTATGAATAAATTGAGTACGTAGTGTAAATAAAATTACCTATAGTTTGCGCGAGTGCACTTGACACAAAACACTTTAAACGGTTCAACGACTAATTAATATATTTTGCGTTTAAACCATTTGAGAATGTTTTATATCACAATTCAAATATTCAGACGTTTTGGATATTTCCTAGAATAGTGGATTTATACGATTACCGGTAGCATTAATATATTGTGTGCATATTGTAATCAGGTCAATCATTGGTAGTATTTAAACGCAAGTTTTTATCCCACCCTTGATTAGTTTCCCTTTCAAGATACCTTGCCTGTGGTCTTTAATAAACATCGTACCTTTATTCAGCGTCAGTATCCCAGTTATTTACCAAACAGTCTTAACAAACATTATAGTTATTCCAGACTTTAATGTCTCGTAAAGGGTATTTTTTTTGTAGAAACTCGCTTATTATGTACTATCCGTAGTTTAAGCGAGTACTAAACATTTAAATAAAACAATTTTAACGGTTTAAACGCGAAATGTATTAGTTTAACTTATTTATAACTTCTTTTAACTACGGCGCAACGTTTATCCAAACGCTTTATTTTTACAACTATCCCCCAAAAGAAATTATAAATAAGTTTAACTAATTCATTTTAAACAGTTAAAAGTGTCTTATTTAGATACAAAATTTCTTATTAAATCAGAATAATTGTGTCCAGTGTAATATTTATTAAGTGCATGGCAAATACATGTTAATTATAATTGTATGTAGCATCAACCACACTCGAGACCCGCTTCTTGGTTCCGCTGGGGTCGTGGAATAAATCCGTGAGCGAATTCCTATCACTCTCTGAAGTTCGTGACTGGTGTTTGAAGATTAACGGCATGTGATTACATTCGATGTTTTCCTGAAATATTAAGACGGTAGCAATGTGTGACTATTCAATATTCAAAGCCAAATAGATCGATAGCGCATCTTGTTGATATATGTTGTTATTGATGGCTGGTGTATTTTAGCTTGATCCAAGTTAACACCTGTCCTTCTCTATCAAAAGAAAGTTTTTTTTAAGGTCACCGCGTCTATAGTCCTATAAGTATTCCCGGGTCCCGAGCCCCGGGTTAATTTGTTTTCATAACCTTCAATATTTCAAGAACATCAAATACAAATACGTCGATAATCTCTAAAAGGACTCTTAAGCCTAGGAACGTGTAGAAACTCGAGTTCTAAAATTATCCAATCTAGTTTATCTCTGTAAAATTTTTCTCTTCAGCGATATTCAATTCTATGTAATGTAACCCTCAACCTTCATACGAAGAAAGAATCAGGCGAAGTATTTGAAATGTTATGCATTCGAAACTTGTGTAGCTTGACGTAAGGTGTCTAATATGAAAGAAGACACGTATGCCCGGCTGGGGGGCAGTTTTAAGTAAAGAAAAATTATACTACTTACAGATATAACTATACAGTTGTGGTGACATTGCCTATTTAGGACGGTGTCGTCGAAATGTTTCCTACGTTTTCGGTCGTCCGGATCAAGAGGACCATATTTGGAACAACTCCTAAATATTCCCATTAGATTCTGTAAAAAAATTTACAACAAATATACTGGCATCGTTACACGAAGGCGCTACCCAAGACATGTCCTGGTTCTATAACATTTGATCGTGATGTGTTGTCGACCTTTTTTCCGATGAACAAAAGTCAACGGAAATTAACACTTCACGGCTTTTCTAGCTCTTGGTTCATAACCTGATATTTCTACCGTAAATTTAATATCTCTCTCATCCAAACGTTAATTCTTACATGTAAAGAGAAACTAGAAATAAATTATAGACATGCTGGACTGAGTGTAAACATAACTTAACCCGTTGGTTCATTGTTTAATCTCTTCCGTCGAGTAATAATAAAGTTGAAGAGTTATTTTTATTACGTATTCAAACTTTTAATGAAGGTAGACTTAATCCACCATACCACTCCCAAATGCGAGCTGAGGTCCATCAGCGAATGCTTCTAGAATAAGCCGGTTACCGTACGTTGCTTTCCTAGTTCCTCCTTGTGTGGCTTGTGAGACGTACAAAAATAATTTAGCTCTCCCTCTAGCCTGTTCTTTTGTCGATATAAAATAGACCAATACACACAAAATACTTACATTGTGTAAAATATACCTCGCAATTGTCTTTATTTGAAATATCGCAACAACAATAAATGAAAACGCCACCCACACAATAGCGAATATCTGTTGCTGCAAGTCATTAAGCAGTCGTAATTCATTAATTTTATTGATAACAAATATCTGAAATATAAAATAAAATTCAATACTCTTTTAATCTGTCACTCCGCCGACACGCCATTTTGAACCTTTGACATGGGACCTTGGCACATTAAAAAATAAATAAAACGGCTGAAAACGCGAAATATTTTAGGTTAATTATATTGTAACAACGGCACGGCGTATCTAATGTTACGCTGCAGTCGTGGTCAAGGGTGGACTGCAGATGGGGGCGTCCCTAATGTCAAAGTCAAATCTGCTACGCTAGCGCCATCTGTTTCGTCGTAGTTGGTGAAACTAGCTGGGTCCTTACAGAACTAACTTTTGGTGTTCTCTCATTTTCGGGATCTAGTGTTTTTAGTCCAAGATACTTTATATCTTGATACCGTTCTCTTTCCGTTCATAGCAAAAATAAAGTGTACAAAAGTTCACTAATATAATATTTCGAACTATAAACCTTTAAAAGTGTTTTTTTTTATGTTACTACTCGCGTAAACTAGTGATAATACTTTACATACCTTTGGCCGAATAATCTTTATATACTTGTTATAAGCCTGGGGGGAGGGCGGTCTAAATTCAATTAAATCGATGTATATGATAATAATAAGATTAGATTAACGTAGATATAACTGATTGATATACTTATCAATCAGTTATATCTACGTTATATAAGAGGCAACACACCTTCAAATTGCGAGAAAATAATTCACTGTTGGCAGCTCTCGAATTTAAAACTTCAAACGGAGTTTCATCTTGAAATACGGGTGCTAGACTGAAGAACTGTCTCGCTTTAAGTATACACTTAAATGCAGTTACGGTTCACATTAGACTTCAAAGAAAAACCGACGAGCCGGGATAACACTTGTAAACAACTGTGTTATCGAGCGCAATATTAGGCATGGGTAATGTTCTATTGTGCGAATGCTCACCAATCACATCCTTTAGCCTTTTAGTGTTTCCCACCGCTGGGACTCTGATCTCTTGTATTGGCCTTAATTCTATTAATACATGATTTATAATGCACTAGTGTATTGTTTGTAGTTTATGCGAGTAGTAAACATATAAATAACTTTAACGTAAATGTGATATATATTAATAAATTTATTAACCTAAGACCTGACGTTTTGGATGCTTTGCAGCAGTCATCAGTTTTAATTCGTTAAAAATGATTTACTTATATACAGGGCAAATACAAGTATCATTAGCTACAATGTTAGCCTAACAGATCGTTAAGAATAGGAAGTCATAGGTTCGAATCTCAAGAATACGATGATTGTTTGCTGATGTCTGATTAAGTACGTATAAATAACATAGATCAGTAAAACGGACACAAAAATGTGTTCGTACCCTCGATATAATTGTATATGAAATCATTCGTGATTAAATATTGATCTCCTTAATACCTCCTATTTTAAACTGTTATATTGTAGATATTTTAATTTATTCTATGTATTTCTTAACAGTTCTTTATATCGTTGTTATCCCTTATTGTAATTATGTATAGCTTTTTTCACAAATTATATTATCTTGAATTTATTTGTTAAAATTTGAATTGACTCTTTATTTTTTACTTTTTTGTTATATATATTGAAGCTCACTTACTGCCAACACTACTGGTAATAACATCCAGACCGTCCTCCAATAGACAGTGGGTTTGAAGCCCAACAAGAATTGTATGTCTGTCGAAAATTTCTTTACACCGTACACCCACATGACAATTAGAACCTTGAACCCTCCTAAATAAAACGTGCTAAGCTTATGGCCGATTATTAATCCATTTAACTTGTTTATTGGCACCTGAAAAATAGATTAAACAATTCGAATATGTAACAACTTTGAAATCTTAGAGGACAAATTAAGTGGTAGGAATATCCAATTTTCGTTCGAGTAACGAACCACAATCGGAACCACACCGATGATAGTGCCGTGAAGCTTAATCGCGTTTCAGTTTCAGTTTGTGAATTTCCGAATATCCAAAACACAGCACATCTTGTTTAGGCGTTATAAGGCTGAGCTTCACCAAGCTCATCAGCTCGCAGGTTCGATATCACTAATGAATGACTACTAGAATAATCAACTGGTTCGATTCGGTAGGCTCGATTTTCACCGTCCCCAATATGATAGCTATTCATTGTGCGTATTAATAATGTCATCAGTAACATAATATGATTAAAGTTTAAAACATATGTACATCAACGTTTCAATAATTATGATGTATCCTTATGTAATGACTGAACAACAAAACAGACGAAACTTGCCAAGTAATATTATATTGAATCAATAAGTAACTAGCTTTTCTCGGTTTTAAATTTTTTATCGCCCCCCCGGATGCTTAAAAGAGATTTCACCTACGTTACTTAGAAAAATATTTATGAAATTGTTGAGCAAAATAAAAGGTGTCCTTTAATGACAGAGTTCAGACAAGCATGGAGTTGACTAGATAACTGACTGACTGTCGCTGTCGACGTATTTTAGCTTAGATCATTAAAAAATCCACAGACTGGAACAGTTTCATACGTGGCCGATATTCGACCCGGACGGAGTTTTGACAATTCTTGCACACGTGTTTACATGGGTATAAAAGGTATAAATATTTCCACCTCTTTCTGTTTTTAGTTCTTATGTCGGACTAAAAAAATATCTGTGAGAAAACGTGTTTTTTATGATGTTACGATATTGCGACCTAGAGCGAATTTCGAATTTTTAAAAATCGAAAATATAATTCTATTTACATAAATTTATGATTACTTTTGAGTTCTAAGGAATATATAGAATAATTTATCATATGTAATATATATGTAAACAATTTGCGACAAGTTCGCAAGCGAGGTATATTTGTTCTCTACACGAGGAACTCGTTCGATGAATTTTTCGTTTGCTGTTGAATTTTTTATTACATTTCGCTTCGTTAAAGGAAAATTGTAGCTTTTGTCTATCAAGGTTTATTTTAAAACGACGATATTCCAATCATCCACCTTCAACAGACTATCTGGCACTTTTGTGCAATTCATCGACGCGGGTACAGCTAAAAAAGGGAATAAAACTACGTAATAGTCGCACTAGTAAAAATACAATAATTTGTCTGAACGTTTTTGAATTAGCTTGCGCTTTGTTCGATGTCAACCTTCGCGTGGTCCAACAATATCTAAGCTACACACATTAACATATATAACCCCAGCGAGACATGGAAGAAAACACATTGCTGTCCGATTGTTGATCGATTTTATTTACAACAAGTAGTTCACACAGGATTCGAACCCAGGACTTCTCGCTTTTAGCACAATGCTTGGCAACATGTGTAACCATTGAGCCAGCGCAGTCAAATAGAAACGTGAAAGCTCATAAAATTTATTATTATTACTACACTTAATAGGGAGTATTAAAAGTTGAATGGCAGGGTCTGGGTTCCAGGTCTTGCAGGTTATTTTTTTTTTTCAATACGACAACAAACATACATTTCGTTAATCATATCACAATGGTAATTATATAAAGACAAACAGTATATCATTAACATTTTCAGTCCATTATCCATTTGTGGCCTCAAATATGAAAGCCTCATCAAATTGCACTCCAATCAAAACAATCAACAACGCTTAAGTTAAACCGATCTATGCAGCCTTTTAGTCCAATATGATCATTTTCACGAAACTAATCGCATCGAGATTGTGTTTTCCGCTTTGTCACATAATCGAATGATTGAAAGGTCACTCATAATCCGTATTTCGCAGATATAAATCCAAATACTGGTTTCCGAGGAACATATCAAATGCATTCCACAAATTTGGTCATATCAACAATGAACAGATAGCATTATTATACTAGCTTTCGTCCGCGACTTTGCTTGTGAAGAGATGTTTATATTAAGGATTGATAATTTTCTTATTAAATTTAAATATTTAATACAAGTATTGTCTTAATACACCAGAGGTAGGAAATAATTGCTGTTCACTCAATATTACATTTTTTATTAATTTAATGACTTTCCCATTTTAAAAGAATTTTGACAAAGTCATGAACTTGTCTCTCACAAGTACTTCATGACTTTTACGACTTTTTAAGAAGTAGACGAGGAAGATAACAAAATCATTATTTTACTTATTCTCTTTACTCCAGCTTTAAGAATATATTACAGAATACTCAAACTCAAATTTCAATACATAATAATGTTTTATAACATACCACGGTCAACGGGAGAGAGAGAACGAAGCCCAAAAAGCACAAAATTCCAATTATATAAATGTATTTCACCGAACGGAACTCGTTGTGCAGTAGCTTCGATATTGTCAATGTCATCATAGCCTGAAAATATTGCCTATTTTAGCACTGTAAAATATTTTAAACATATCATCGGCAGTTTGCGACAGTGGTACACATTAAAAATTAAAGTTAGAAGCCTGTAACAACATTGTGCTAGTAATTAATAAAACACTTTAACGGTTTAAAACGCGATACAAATTACTTATTAGAATTTACGAATGCTGTTCCGAAACGTAAATTCGTAGTCGATCGTAAAAACGTAGTCACGGAGAAAATATATCGTGTTTTAAACCGTCGATATGTTTATTTAAATGCGTACTACTCGCGTAAACTACAGACATTTTTTAGGAATACATTTTTAACCCGATTTGTGACCCGACGTCTCGTAATCTGACCTAGATAACGAGTTTTAAACAGATAAAAGTGTGGTAAATATTATTACGTGGAATGTAATCTACTAATATATAAGTCTACACCGTGGGTAGTTTTACAAAATCTATTGTGGTGTTAATTTAATAATCGGAAGAAAGAAACTTGGTTTTTCTTTTTTTGTGAGATTTTCGCCCAGTTGACTTTATGATTTTTTAATGTGTTAACTGTGTGTATGTGTGTGTTCACTCGTGTAAACTACAGATATCTAACACTTACCAATCCCGGCACTAGAGCCACAGTCAAATTCAAATACACGTAGATTATATACATCTTGTGTATCTCCATAAATTCGACGCTCAACGGTACCATAACGAACAACATATAGTGGTGGGTGACTGTGTTCTTGATCTCCACGCATCTGGACATAGCTATGTACAATGACCGGACTATAAGTGAGGTGGCGAACGCGATCATTGTTGTCACGACAGTGAAGATGACAACCGTTGTGTCGATCATTGTGAACGGTGACATAGCGCCAAAGTCGTACACTCCAATAAGACCGACACCAAACACTTCGTTCGCCCTGTTGAGTGAGGAGGGCTGAAAAAAGATTTACAGTGTTTACTGACAGGCATGGGATTTACTTGATGGTAGGTAAAATACCCCAGCTGCCTATTTTGGCTTTGGATATTCGGAAATACACAGACTGAAACCGGAACGTGATTAAACTTCATAGCTTTTTTTATCAGTAGGTTGGTCGTGACCCAGACGGAAATTCGATATTTCTACCACTCATTTAACATCCAGTTTTCCAGACGTACTCCTACATGTTTCAGAAACATTATAAATTGATAAGAAACAAGTTGGGGATCGAATCCACGACCCTTTGATTATTAGCTATACATTGCTTCCAAAATGTTCATGCATCCAACAATTTATTACTGCTTAACTTCTCTATATTTAGATTTAACATTATATTATATTATTTACAGAAGATGTATATTTCGCTTAATAGTAAAAACAGAATTAATATAATCATATCTATAAATAATATGCGATTGGAAGAACGAAATATAGTGAGTCATTTGTTCAAGTCCCGCTTTTTAAATATAATATAAAATCCCCTTATGTCCACGACTCATCCTCAGTGTCGTAGTTAAAAAAATACTATCTAATATAGTTCGAGTTTAAAACCGTCAAAAGTCTTTTATTTGCTTTTAGATCATTTTATTAAATTTTCGCAGTTTTTAGTATACATAATTAAATAAACACTTTTCGATTAAATTACGTTTTATAATGTTTTTATACCGTTGATAAAAACGGTCAAATGCGAGTCGAATTTACTACGTGAAGTAAGTAACATTGAGTTGTTTTTACCCAACTGTGGGGTTCCACTAATTATTTATTTTAAGGAACCTAAATACAGTTAATCGTCCAATTGTTAATTTTAATAACACCAATTACAATAAATTCTGCCTTTCAATATTTTTAAATGACAATTTTGTAATAACAACGTTCCGAATTCAATTTAAATAACTCAAACAACCATAAGCTTAAACAATAATCTTTTCGAATAAAACGTTCTTGAGATGGCTTACAACTTCTCAGAAGACCGTCACTGGAAATATTTTATCTATAAAACATTGCACTTAAAAGAAACCTTTCTACTGCCATTAAATAGCTAGTATGAACAGGATCTTAAAAATGAAAAAACACTGCCAGGTATTTAACGAATACTCTGAAAGGGAAAAAACGTTTACTTGGAATCTTCATCAGAAATTGTTAATGAAGCTTTGGACTCTATTCTAACCTTGTGTTAAAGTCGATATTTTAATTGCTTTCATTTGTAACCCAAAGGTCAATAAAAGTAAAAAAACCTTTACAATTTTAATGTTTTAATAATACATATTATAACGATAGTATGATGTGTGACCGCTAGTGCTTCTTAATTCGAATTCGGGTGATTTTAGAATGTTTTCTTTAGGAAAGGCACAACCAAGATTAAGAAGTTAGTAAAATTGTTATGGGAAATAAATACATCTATCATTGGGACGTAAGTGTTATAGAGATTTATTTTTTTCATTTCATGTCTATAGGGCCAACAATGTTATTTGCTTAAATTAGACGGTTAGACTTCTCTAGAACGTTTTCGTGATGCGGTGGTGTTCGCATTCTGTGTGGGGTCCATAAACATAAAAAAGAAGACCAAGCTTTGTGTAAGTTTCTGGCACTTAATTCATGATTACTAATATGCTGCTGTATCTAAAGAAACATGGTCTAAGAGACTCGTGAACTTGACTAATATTGTCAGCCAGTTCTTTTGTATAAGTGGATTTATGTCTCTCGTCTGCTCAACATGAGAGAGTTCCACCAGACAAAGTAAGATCTTGGTTAGATCTCTGTTAACTATAAATCCGATCTTTAAAAAATTGTATCCTAAAAGGTCAAGTTTCTTTTAAATATCTTTTCAATCTATTAATATCCCATTGCTGGGCACAGATCTTGTCTTGCTCAGGAGGGGGTTTTATGAGCTTAGACCCACCATGCTGTACCATGGGTTGGAAGTCTGTATGAACCGTTCAATTAACAGCTTTAACTGGGACCGTGATCTCCAAAGCAACCATTATAAAGGCATTTAAATAGTCAATTCTTCATCAAAATTATTAAAGCTTATTACCGTCAGAAAGTTTTAACTGAAAACCTATATAGCTAGCTCGAACAAGTGAACTGCAAACATTCATCGGTGAAGGGCATTTGTTTTGAATACTAACCTTGCAATATTAATTTTAGTATTTCATAGCATTTATGCAGAAGATGTAAACAAATTATGTAAAAGCATTTTTCCAAGTAAGAGATTACTTTGTAGAGCTTTCAAAGAACATTTTAAATAAGCGGAAAACGTTTGAAAACATTAATATTTTTACATGAAGGCACTATATAATTTAAAATCGAAAAAAAAATTGAAAAAATTTTTCGACTCGGCTAGGACTTGGTAGCTCAATTGGTAGAGCAACAGCACGGAACGCTGACGATGCCGGTTCAAGTCCTGTCCGAGTCGAAAATTTTTTCAATTTATTTTCGATTTTTTTAATTATATAGTGCCTTCATGTGCAATAACATGTAAACAATATTAATGTTTTCAAACGTTATAACTTTGTAATTTCATCTTCAACTATTTCTTAAGCTGCAAAGCATAAGACGTTGAACCTTAATACGCAAGTGTTAAGGTTGAAATTACATTGCGCGAGGGGTGCATGTATCAATAAGTTGAAACAATTCAACTCGGTAGCTCAAATTGGTAGAGCAACAGCACGGAACGCTGACGATGCCGGTTCAAGTCCTGCCCGAGTCGAAATTTTTTTCAATTTATTTTCTAATTTTAAATTATAAGAGAAAACCGTTTTACCAAGAATTAATATTTCCGATGTAAAATGCGGTTTGATGGAAATTATTAGCACGGAACACGGCAAATAACATGTCCATTTTTCAAATGTGCAAAGGTGCAAATTCTAATATCCCACAGCTGGTCACGGTTGGCCTCTCCCAGGGAGAGGGGTATTAGAGACCCACCACGTTCAAGTTGACGGGCTCAACGACTAAATAGTAACCTGGACCAAAATGCACTCTACAAGGCACATACATGGTGACGCCTTCTTATCATAGGCCTAGACAATATTAAAAATATTCTGAGAAAAAAAATCAACCTATATTTCATACGACCCCAAACCCCAGGCACTCCGTGACTTTCAAGCGACTAGGCATTAAAACATAATATATAAAAAGTACACGGATACGAAATTATATGCACTTATTAAATTTTTCGACAATTGAAACTGTTTGGAAAAAACACTTCGATCACACGGTACTGAAGGATTTACCTTAGTAGTATATATACCGAAAAATAGACCCTATTCCATTCACACATTGAACATAATAAGCGATGCATACTATTTCATTCCTTGAAATGTCATTTCTGAAGCGGGTCAAATGCAATGGCAGTTTTCCATCTCATTATAAATTCTCTCTCACGAGCCACCTAAGTGGAACTCGCTAATAACTTTTCACTTACGTATTTCTTCTTTGGGTCCGTCATATCCATAATTTGATAGAATGCAGTCGTCGCGTACGATGAAAATAGAAGTACAGTCACGACGAAAAGCGTTGAAAACGTACGCCAGAGAAATGTAATCTTGAAAAGCTGAAACATTATTGTAACGTGCTTTAACTTAGCTAATAAGAATTCACCAGATAACTATAAAATTCCGCCGCGCTTCACAGAATACAGACAAAACCAGTAATGCCTTAATAGTATTTTTGATTTTAAAATTACGGTTGCTACTAGTTTTTCGAATGAAATAGGTTTTCGCCTAGGCTAGCATTCGCGTCAAAATCAACACACTGACTCGATCGTAATCAAACTACTCCATTTTAAAGTAATAACGACAGTCTCACTGTCGGGAGCGAGAACGGTTACTGAATGCTTCAGTATTCTGCGCCGCTAAAAAGATGTTTTTCTGTTAAATTCATAATAAAATCTTGGAATGTAGGTACGCTGTTTATATTAAATTCTATATGACATCTTTTCATGGAACTAAATATTGTTTAAGAAGCGTCGACTAAAATTGCTTTTATACTAGCTACTTTGGTAGAAGATTGCGGAATTTTACGCGACATTTTATTGACACTATGAGAACTAGGAAAAGCACTAGATTATATTACGGAAGAATATTGAGACTGAAACATTGCTTCTATTATTAACGATTCTTCCTTGTAAATTTTATCACAATCGGTCAAGCCGAATGGAAGTAAGGGTAAAAAAATAACGTAAGGGAACATACCTTTAACAAAGCTCTATCAGTTATTGTGGTAATGAAAAAATTAAAAAGCCAGACGATAGCGATGAGAAAAAATCTTGTGGACAAATTGTTTCTATCGAAGTTCACGAAAAGTTTCCTGCAATTCAGACGTTTTATAAAAACTTGGGGTCGCACCACCTTTATTTAGCTAATATAGGAGCAATACTTACGTTAAATGGTGTATTGTTAAGATCCGGTATATTATTATTAGGTACTTAATTTATATAATAGTAACGTTATAAAGATGAACAGTTTGTTTGTTTAAATCTCAAGTTCTACTAGTTCGAATCGAGAAATTATTTTTGTGTTGCATAGACTATCTTGAACCATAACATGAATCTATAACTTGATGCTGCGAGTACTAGGTGCGTAGAAATGATGGATAATGTTTAAAAAAAATGCGAAAAATTATTCATCCGGACTTCGGGGTTCATGACCGTTTAATAAATCCAAAAATATGTACGAAAGAATGATTCCTCTTTAAATGATCTTAAAAATTCCGCGACACAATATGTTAAGATTATCTCTCAAGAACTGTTTTGATGGTAATCAATTTTGATAAATTATTTGTTAGAGTTGAATTGGCATAATAATATTATTCTTACAAACAACAAATAACTTATATAATATTTGGATAAGAAACGAATCCAAACATAAATATTAGTTTAGTGTGTTGGTGTTATTTATTAATAGCGAGAACCACTATTGAAGAGGTTCTAAGCATATAACGTTAAGCTTTAAAACTACCCACAGCAAAGTTATTCGTCAAAAGCCCGCAAGAGTATTAACGGATAAATGCTTACACCCTTTTCACAAAGATTAAGTGATTTGAATGATCAATAGAAATATTTCCAAGAACACTCTATTGAAGCCTTTAGATGTAAGAAGATTTCATTCAAGTTTTTCCACGTCATTTTCTAACCTGGCGACCACAACTTTTACGGGAATTTATTTCCCTCGGTGTCTTTTCAGTATGAAGCTCTCGTTTTAAAAAGAGGTTTTATGAAATAGATTTTTATCTGCAGCCGTCTGTGTTTTTGCTCTATTTTCAATACGATTAAAGAGATTCGAATTTGCTCCCTTCGCGGAGCGGAAAATATTTTTTTTGAGACTGTTGAAAAATTTGAATTGGTCGCGGTTGGGATTTAATTTTTACGTAATTGCGAACTATGAACTTTTGAAGATTAATTCGTGACTGCGGCCTATTCAAAGCCTTTTGAACTTGCGTAATTTGGATTAAATAGTTTTCCCTTGGTAATTGCGAACCATAAATTTTATAAAGAGTAGATAGTCTATTTAGTCTAGTTAATCCCGTTTTTCAGCGTGGGGCATAGGGCGAACACATTTCTGTCCATTTCACTGATCTGTTTTATTTACAGGCAAGTAGTTGATCAAATTTACTTATGGTACAGGACTTACTCTAAAGACACAATTTACTGTTTCCCCGTGATTTGAACCAGCCTCTGCTTAAAGCAAGGCACGTTTAACCATTTAGTTACAGAGGCGATAGTCGATTGAGGTATTCGTTTTATGTAATCTATTGCTTTATTATTTTATCATCTTTGTTATTTATTATCTAGACTGGTCTTATATAGTTTGTTTGTTCTTGAACTACTGGTTCGAAGTGAACAATTCGGTATATTTATGTTGGTTGGACCAATCAGGCGCGACCAATCAGAAAAATGATGAAAAAACAAGAAGAAGAACGTCGTGGACACGGCTAGTAAAAGTATAAATTGCTTTTGTATGTCACAAAGTAGTATTTTTGTATTAGAATTTATGTTCGTACATCCTTGTTTTAAGAGTACATCAGTAGACCGATATTTTAAATATGTATCGCTTGTTAATGGGCTAGAAACATTTACATAGCTTCACTTAGTCGCTAGCGTTTTTTATTTTGATTAAAATAAAATTTTAATTACACGAATTTAATTAACGTTGCTTCCTAGGTGAAACCAGCAAAGCAAAGATGATAAATTCCATTGAAGCGTGAAATATAGCGCATAAGCTTATTATTGAGAAATATGACGAGCAGCAATTAGGCTGTGGTTGCCTATAGAAGCTATGACTAAAATATAGCGTTATGAGTTTCTACGCGTCGAGCTATAAAAATGTACTAGCTGCCCTGGCAACCGTTGTTTCGCCACAGAAGTATTTAAAACTGTCTGCTCAAAGTCTTCCTTCATAAAGGGGCTAACCAAGTAAAATAATTTTTCTTATCGAACCACTAGTTGCTGAGATTAGGCCGTTCAAACAATCAAACTCTTCGGCTTTCTCAGTATCGATAGTCACTCTCCATTGATTTACGCTCACATATTGAAACTGTATGCTTAGATCGCAATGGCTCAATGCTTAGACTCAGTGTTAATTTTAAGTTGATTGGCACAGGTTTTTCCTTGGTTCGAATCCCGGGGACAAGTAAATAGATTCGGTCGGGCACAAATATATGATCAACTTGCCTGTATATATATAAGGCTAGAAACGGATTTATTTCCCAGTCTTAATTTTTCATAGCTATAAAAAATAGTAACAGTACTTAACAAAGTTTAAGTGTATATATGGAAGAATCGCAATTTTTTATACCCTGTACCATAATTTTAAACATGGTTTTCAATGCTAATGTGGGTTAGAGTCCATCCTATTGATTTATCAATATAAGTTTATTTTAACTTACTCATAGTGAAAATGCACAGAAGTTGTTACAATATTTGTAGTGTTCTTCGCCCTGCAACGAATTACTATATCTTCAGAGGGTATGCACGTTGGATGCTTTGACATTTGACAGTTCACCCAGCTTGGCTCTAGAGGAAGACTGACAGCAAGGAAGCGCAGAGAATCCGCTAAGTTTGTTGCATTCTGTGGTGCGATATAGATAAAGAAGCAGGTTAGCATAGACTTTTGAAACTGTCTAACAGTTAATAAAAATCTATCCTTCCTGTCACTATTTCTAAACGAATCAAGATTTTTATCCCACCATCGGGAGACATCGGGACACCTATAGAGGTAAGAGGATTATACCGCATGTCAAGTTTACGGTTTTGCGAAGGAGCTTAGGTTATACATAAATCTGTGTCCGTTTCAAAAAGAGAATCATTTTTCTATCAGAACGTAAGGAAAACTATTTTTTATGCGGAGATAGGTATCATGTTTGACCTAAAGGACATTAATAAAGTAAGTAATTAAAATATTGTCATTGTATTTGATTGAGATTTTTTTTGCGTTATAAAATTCGTATATCACTTTCTATAACTGTATTTTTGAAAGAGATATCTATTTACATATAAACTCGCCGCTTATTCCCAATATTATAAAAATATAACATGTAATGAATCAGAACCGTTGCTTCTCCGAGACATAAACCTAGGACCTAGCTCTCAAAGTCATTTAAACCCTATTAAACAAAGGCGCGATTAGTTAAGAACTCTGTATATATCATATAAATGTTAACGCGTGTACACTGTTGTTCTAAGGTAAACTGGCGCAACATAACAATTAGTTTTCGAGCGTATAATTACTTTGAGTTGGCCGCCCTAACTAACGCTACTTTTAATTTAACTTTATTAAACATATATACAAATCCATACTAATATTATAAAGGTGGAGAGTTTATTTATTAGATGACTAATATTTTTCACATCTTATTGCACATGGTGGCAAAAATAAATTAAAAATCGATTTTATATTGCAAAAATTTTACGATACGGGCGCGGCATGAACCGGCATTCACATCCGTGCTGTTGCTCTAACCAGTTTATTTATTAGTTTAAACACCTTAATCTCAGTAGAAATAGAAATTTAGACAAAGTTAGATTCTTTAATTTTGTGACATTCATATGTGTACGAAGTTACCTACATGAATAAATGATTTTTGACATGACTTGACTTAAAAAAAATTAACCATCTAGCTATCCTGGCCAGATGATAGACAGAGAGCAAAGTTCTATGATACGAACCCTAAAAATATCGAAGCTAAGCTAGGGCGTGCCTATTTCTTATTGACTAGATCTATTCGAACAAATAATAATTACAATTCGTTTGTTATTTACACTAGCTGGTTCGATTTTCCTAGCGTTCATGTTATTTCTCAAAGCGTTATGTTTTCTTATTGTGTTTCGAAAAACATGTAGTTATCTAAATTGAAGATACAAACCAACGGCGAGTTCAGCACTAATTTGTTAAACTGGTGTTTTTCATTATTATCAGAGTAATTGAGTGTCTGTGGATATTAAAAGTGCTTTTCTGT